GCACCTCTAGTAATATATTTACTGAGAAAAATGTTGACATGTTCAATACTTATTTTACCCGCTGTATAGTGTTTTAAAACACATATAGAAAGAACAAATCCTCAAAATTTCCCCCTCCCTCCCACTGTAGAAATGTTACGTTGTGCCATAGTGTCGTGGGATCATTTCCTCCCTCCCTCCTGCTGCACGTCGCGCAGAGCGAAACATTAACAACTGTAGTTTTTTCACACCCAAGTTGTTGAAGAAAAAAAACTTGTTTTCTGTGTATTGTTACCCACAGAGACGACAAAATGATGTGTTTCTGTATTGCATTTGTATTTAGTATTTGCTCGTCTTTTGACACAAGTCTTGACTGAACTGTAAAGCACTTTGGTCAGCTTTTGTTGTTTTTATTGTGCTATATAAATAAATTTGACATTGACATTGGCTGCTTTGGATGCACCGCATGCATGGAAAACGCTCAACCGCACCTACCACTTCCTTGTGCGCCGCAAGACCCCTAGAGGCGCTTAGAGTTTGCATGTGAACCGGCCGCTCCTGCAGCTCAAAACGTGTTCGGTGTGAACATAGTATATAAAAGTTTTTTTAAATATGTTTTTGATAATATAATTGACTGATTGTCACTGACTCAGTCTTCAAAGTTTGAATCTGTTAAGTCAGATGTCATATGTTATGTACCTCTGTGTAACCATGTTAATATTTTTGTGGTACAAATACAGTACAGGTTTTTCTTATATTTGATCAAATTTGAACATGTTTGTTTCGGGCAGGTAACCTTTTATGTCGGGCAGGTAAAAAAAAAACTCGTCGTACCCTGAATTATATATTTTAGCACATAATTTCATTTTACTGTTTAAAAATATATATTTTTTGTTTTTTCCTTTTGCTTAGATGCATTTGTCTCTTAAATGATATTTATTTATTGTTGTAAATAATTTTTCACTGAAGTTTTTTCATTTCTATGTGTTGCTTTTAGATTTCTCTTTCTCCTATCTCCAATCAAATTCCAAAGCCTCTTTCATAGGACAGTTCAGCGAAATCGCCGCACAGACCGGTCCGGGCTTTAAGCTCCCCCAGGTCCTTTATAAAATCACAGGGGAAGCCGGCCAGGTCCTGCTCACATGTTTGCGTTCATAAAAGAACCCATCGCAGAACCAAAAGAGGCGTGGAGCAGATCTTGGCTGGGCTGAAGTGGACCGCAGTGTATTATTTATTGTGTGACGTCTGTCTCGTATCAAACAAAATAATGGGGCAGCTGTGGCAGAGTGGTTAGGGGAGTCGTCCTGGAACCGGAAGGTTGCTGGCTCGATTCCCCGTCCAGCTGTCTCAGTTGTTGTGTCCTTGGGCAAGACACTTCACCCCTAATGCCTCTGATGTGTGTCCCATCAGTGTATGAATGTGACTGGCACTGATTAGTCTCCATAGGTGATTGTACTTGTTAGCTTTGTAGAAACCTAATAGAGTGCTGTGAATGGGTAAATGAGGACACAGATTGTAGTGTGAAGCACTTTGAGTGTCCTGGATGGATAGAAAAGCGCTATATAAGTACAGTCCATTTACCATTTGAATCAATATTTTTTAAACTAACTACAAATTTGTTGTTTTGTGTAGTTTTTCATATTCCCTCAATAATAACTCTGGTTGTTGATTAATCCTGCAGTCACTCACTGATGTCATCAGCTCATTATCATTTTCTGAGCGTGGAACTGTGGGTTGCTTTTTCACAGGTTGGTCAGCCCAGCTTGGGCCGGGACTGATACAACTTTACTTGAGGGCTCAAAGGCATCAAAGGAGGACAGAATGTGCATCAGTCCCGGACTGAGCCATCTTATGAATGTGGCTGAACTCTTTTTTTCTTAAAACAGATTGTTTAAAGTGCTATCCACAAAAGGTAAGATATTAATTACTTTATCCTCTCCATAGTACCACATTTTTAAAGATTTAGACCATCATGTTAACCTGGCTTTAATCTCCCAGTATACTGCCTTTAAACTACCATAACACATTGAAGACAGATAAGAGCCGTCCTCCCCCCACCACCATCTCTCACACTCGCAAACACACACACACACACACACACACACACACACACAC